GTGAAAAATGGTCATAAGTTACTTTTTTCAGTGCAGTTATAACTTCAAACAGTCACTAAATGAACTGTTGTAAGTCGAGGACTACCTATATTACTCTATATATTCTTGGAAGCTGTATTCAATAATTTTATTCATTTTTGACCATTTACATTCTTTTAAATATCTTACAGTCTCTGAAATACGTGGAAGTATTTGAGGTGGTTCTGCTCATTTCCAGATTGTTGGTCAGTCACATGAATTTGCTACAGGAAGTCTGGTCAGAATTGCCATCCCTAAGTGATGCAGTTGTAAAATGTGATGCCACTTGACTACATTGCTTAAAAATGGCAATTCTAATAGTCTTCGTTGGTGTCATTAAGTAAGGACTGTACAGGTCATAAAGCAAGGGCTTCACATGATTGCAACTTCTGATTTCCCATTTACTTTGCTTGTACGGAGCTGGCAGGGTACATGGAAATCACAGTCATAGGATCACAGCTTGCCGGGATGGCAGGAACTCTGAGAAGCAGTTGTAAGTGCAATTCATTCAACACCATTGTAATTTTGGATGGTCCTGAACAAAGAGTAGAACAATATTTATTAGGGAAAATGGCAACTCTGTTGATACATAAAGGTTTCTGAGATGTTCAGAGGTTGAAAGTAAGCAAATGCTATAATGAGGCCATTGTAATTTAGTTTTGCACTTTGGTTTACCTGACTGGCTCCCAATATCTATATCTGAAATTAAGTCCCTTATCAACCAACTCAGGAGGGGAAGGCCCCTGGAGCTGACTGTATTTCCCTACTGAAGAATAACCGACTAGTGGGCTCCAATCTTGGGATCACTTTCCAACTATGTTGACACCATGGGAGCCTGGCAATTATGATCCCAATTTTTAAGAAGGGGAAAAAGATATGTCTCTGCTAACTACAGGACAATCATCTTGTTTAATGTAATAAGCAAACTTTATTCTAAGCACCTCCACAATATTCTTAAGGACTGACTGGGTCAGGAAATCTGGTAGTGAAAGAGCAGGCCAGTTTTAGAGAAAGTAAAGGCACAATTGATCAATTTTTGGTCCTACAGCACCTGACTGAAAAATATTCAACCTACAAGGCAGTATCATTGTATGGTGCCTTCATTGATCTGTAGGCTGCTTTTGATTCTGTATTCAGGACCAAATTATGAGAGAAGCTGGACATCACATCAATCAGTTGTAGGCTTCTTCATTTAATTTGCGTCCTATACACCAATATGACTCTTAAGATCAGGTGCAATATGCAAGGGTTTCTCTCAAAGCCAGTTACAACTCAAAAGGGGGTAAAACAGGGGGGTATGTTAGTCCCGTTCTTTTGCATTTCTACATCAATGGTGTGGTGAGATGTCTACACGGTCCATATTTCCATCCCCCTGAAGTAGGAGTAGCAGCGTTGCCCTGCAGCTCTATGCAGATGCTGCTGCAGTTCTTTCTGGAACACCAACAGGCCTCCAAGGAGCTCTGAGAACTTTGGTCCAATATTGCAACAAGGATAATCTGGAAATACACTATCAGAAAAACAAGATTATGGCTTTTGCCAAAAAGCCCAAGCTCTGCTTATGAAGCATTAATGATAGTAAAATAGAACATTTTTGCCATTGTTGTAAAGTGAATCACTGCAGTTGTTAAGTTAGTAACATTAACTTTGTTAAGTTGTTAAGTGAATCTGGCTTCTCCATTGACTTTGCTTGTCAGAAGGTCACAAAACATAATCACGTGGTCCCGGGACACTACAACTGCAGCTGTCATAAATACATGCCTGTTGCCCAGCATCTGAATTTTGATCATGAGACCACTGGGATGCTGGAATGGTTATTGCATGCCATTAGTTGGAGGGAAGCCCACTGTGAATATACTGCTGCTACTGGAATATGCTGCTTCTACTGAACAAAGATCTACCAATGCCATACTTAATTTTTTCTGATCCAGCTGCACTTAAACTCTTTAAGGCTATGCCTTTAGCCCAGCTCCTTTATGGGACTGGTTGGCTCCCAAGCTTTGGGTTTACCTATCTGGAAAGGAGCCCAATGCCATGCTCTACCCTTTGCAGCATTGGATGGTAAATATAAAAAAAACTTACACTGAACTTTTGAAAGGCTTTGCCCCTGTGATTCCAGAGAAGTGGAAACTTCAGAATGTGTCCTTTCTGTATGGAAACATCTGAGCCAGGTTCATACTGCCTCTGATTAGTAAATATTCTGGTCACCTAGATTTGGCTTATGCCTAAATGTTGCTTTTAGACAAAGTAGCCCTTGTCTACAAGTACCCCAAGGTACAGCATATGCACAGCTAGGTTTTGCACAGCAGTGTAGAAGATCTGTTGAACTCTGATGGACGAATATCCCTCAATGAATTTTCTGTAACTATAATTAATCTAAATTTTAGATATTAACACTTCTCAGGTGTTAATAGATTCCTTTACTTTACTATAATTTTAGATATCATACAATATAATTTTAGTCTTTAATTAGATACTAGTTAGGTTATTTTAGAAATGTATTTTAATTGTGTTTTAAATTGTATTTGTTGATTATCTGTGCTGGTCTTTGATCACATAAATTGAATTGAAATTGATGTAAGTTATGTCTTTTAAATGCAGAATTCTCTTTTTAATTAACAATGAAAAACTGAATAAGATTAAGATGTGCTTTTGTGTGTGTCTGTGTACACACAAACAACACATATAAGGACTCAATTCCTAAATCTTAACAGCTACCTAACACATAAAAAATAATCAGAAAATGTATTGAGAGAAATACATCTAAAGCTTAATTTATATACATTGAAGCATGTTTTGGAATTTTGCAAATTGAGCATTTTTTATTGTTAAGGATGATTATTGATTATTTTGAACTTTAAAATAAAGACTTGTATTACCATGACATTGAATAGTAAGAAATCAATGCTTTGAAGTTTAAATAATATTCAGTATGTTTATTATGATATTAAATTAGAGTTATTCAACATATTTTTCATGTTTATTGGACACCATACAGAAAGTTTAAAAAGAGTGATGGGAAACTTATTGTATGATGCAGTACGGTGTATTCTTTCATTTTAGTTTAATATCAATAATTTTGTTGACTTCCTTTTGGGAAGGATGTATGGTTTAAAAATCAGTATGTGATTAAAGATTATTTTGCTTTGGAGCAAACAAGCTCGTGTTCTGCTTATCAACTGGCTGTTGAGAAGATTGATTAAAATTATTCCATATGGTTAATATTTCATGCTTTGTTTTAAAACATTTTATGCTTTTTGTCTCTTTTTTCTTTTTTCCAATAATTTGTATATGAAGTAACCTGGGGTTCAACATGAATTAATGTTATCTTTTTATTTGTTTAAGGCAGCAAACCTGTCTTGCTACACTTCTCCAACAATTTTGGCACTAATTCTTCTTTTTCCCGATGTCTGCATAGGAAAACTGAATGAAAAAAAAAATAGATATATGCGAAAGAAAGAACTGTAATACATTTAACTTGAGGCAAGAAAGAGTGAAACTTGTAATGGAAACCTGGCATAAAGCACTACTAACTCTTGAAAGAGTTTCAGATTGAGACTGCACAGCATATAATGAACACCACGCTGCTGTAGCCTGCCAAATGTTACTGGCACATGAACATGTACTCCATGCTTAATCAGAGCAACATACAAGTTTCCAGGATTAAGTAGCACTTGCCAAAAAAAACCAAAAAAAACCCCGACCCTTGGACAGGTGCCATGTGTTTGAATTGAAATGGAAAAATTAGAGTTTTGCTCACCATCATCTCCTTTAAAGTAAAGTGGGAAAGGAGGACAATATATCAATAACAATGCATTGCATATCTAGTTAGTTACCTCTCGTGCACATAAAAACTACTCTTATTGAAGGCATCCATAAACATTTGTGAAAAGAGCATAAAAATGTTGACTAGTTTATCCAATATTTGTGCTTTCAAAAATGAGTTGCCTCTGGAAGCCTTCTAATGCCGTTTGCTTTTATATGTTTTTTTCTGGCTATTTTGTTTAAATATTTGCATTTTCAAGCTCACTTAACAGGAACAGCAAAGTAATTCCCATGTGCTTTTTATGAGAAAGAGCCATGCTGCTGAATAACAAAGCACCTGCTTTGTATACAGAAGGCTTGAGGTTCCAGCTTTGGCGTTTGCCTGGTGGCAGAACTAAAACTGAAGCCTGGCAAGATATTTAGAGTTAGAAGAGACAGTGCTAGGCAGATCTGGTTAATTTAATGGAGGGTTGATTTCCCTACATTTCTTACTCATGTTAATTCTGGCAACTTGTTTAATTACTTGCCTTGTTTTTCTTGGCCACATTTGGTGTGTGTGTGTATATGTGTGTGTGTGTGTGTGTTTCCTGCAACACAAAGCACTTTCTGGTTTCATTGACATAAATGTTGGCAATTTCATTTCCTTCCCAACTTTGTAAAGCATGCAGTGCTTACAAGTAGCTACCTTATCTGGGAGGTGGAGTACTTCCTCTAATTAAGCTCAGGTTGCTAACATCCCTTATTTGTTGCCTTCAGATATGTTGGGTTCCTTTCCCATCATCCCCAGCCAATGTTGTCTAAGGAGGGCTGGTCTAATCTCTAATAACTTGAGACGGGAGCATGAGAACTGGTTTAAGACATTGCCTAAGGTGAAACAGTGGTTGACTGGTTTGAAGCAGTGACTAAGGACATTGTAAAATCTGATAAATGTTAGTGGTAATTATGCTAGATAATATCTTGAGAGCTCCCAGCTCTTTCCTTTCAGTTTATATTTTTAGTGTAACTCTTAACAAAAATGCATGGAATGGGGATTTTGCTTTGCAATGGTACGATCCAGAGATTAAGGACAAGGAAATGTAAGATTACTGTAGGAATACAAGTGAGAAACCTAATTCCCTTTTCTTTATGACCTTTTTCTTGCTGGATCTGATTCTGACACCTAGAACAAATATAATACTTATCCAAGTATACTGACTTAGTTTTTCTTTCTTTCTTGGTAGTTTACGAATCTCTGAACTTCGATTTGGAGACTAGTGACAAATGGCTGGGAAGAAGACTACTGCAAGAAACTGAGGATAATGTCACTGATAAGCCAGAAGAAGTAAAGCATCTCTATCGAAAAAATTGCACTGAACCAGGTAGGATGGAGGTTTTCTTCCTTGATTTGGTGGTCTGTAAGGTTCAGTGGCTGCAAAAACACCAAAAAATATTTCCAATCATGCAGATTTTGTATGTATTGTAAGATGAATGATGGCAAGTCCCTTCCAGTTCATACTCAAGATTGCTTATAGAATTTCTGTGGATTTTACATGCAGTGTATATGAGAACGGTGAAAAACTTTTCCTAGTTTTAGGTGCTCTTTGTTTTTATTATCATTGCAAACAGTGGTCAGCACATGGATTTTGAAAGGAAGAGTTTAATAAACAATTTATTAAATTGATTTGCCACTTGGCTTTCAGTGAAATTTGTAGAGTATTTTTAAGGAAAGGCCTGTTTATACATAACGGTTGGTACATCTTTGACATACAAATATTTAGCATACTTTACAGCCTATTATTCTTAAATAAAACTATGAGCCCTTTCTTTTAGTACTAGTTCACAGAAAAATACACGGTATTTGAAAAAGCCACATATCTCCCCTAACGCTGGTTGCTTCTTTTAACTTTTCTTCCTGAGTTGTAAGATTCTCAGTTGTTTCTTTGTAGAAACAGCCCCACAATTCCTTTCCTGAGAACTTCTTTTTGTACAAATTCTTATCCTTTGTTTCCTTACTTTTATGGAGAATCAAGTTATGTTGTTGGTAAATTATTTGATTTCTATGTGTTCTTTTCCATTTTCTCAATGTGGGTTGTTCCCTTTACTGTGCTTTTGTTCCCTTATTTTATTATTTCTATAGTGACATTGTGTTATGTTTGCTGTGCAAAATGAAAATGAAATGAAAATGAAAATTTAAATGAAAAGGGTGATCTGTGATTAAAGTTCTTTCTAGGAAGTAAGATTAAGGGCAATTAAGAGAACTTATTCAAGGAGCAGTTAATAGGCTACTTGTCAATTATCCCAGATCATACTTAGTCGGACACAATAAACTGGCTAAACTTGTATGCCATAAGTTTTTTTTATTAAAGTTGGGAGGGTTCCTTAGTTGAATGTACTAACTTCCAAATAAATATTATTGAAGGCTCTTTCAGAGGAGAATGCCTTGCTTGAAACTATGCAGTTCATTTATGTAATGTATAAGACCTCTTGTTTTAATTCTATTTTCGGTTAATAATGGAAAAGGCATTTCTCAGCAAGGAAGGGTACAGTACAGATGAGGAAAAACTGAAATACCTGAGTTGTAATTATTAAACACATATGTGTTCTCAAACACTCAACAAAATCAGCTGCATTATGTATTTTTAGCTAACGTCACTATAAAAATCAGAAAAGCAAGTGATTAATGAACTGAAAGATTTGTGCATACTTAAAAAGATGAATAAATATTTATAGAATTATTTATCTGACCACATAATTTTGCCAACAAATTTACTATAAAATCTTGGGAGTTTTGTTTGCAAATTCTCACTTCCAATATAATTAACAGTTACATTAATTTATTAGCTGTTACCTTCAAAAAAGCAATATAATTTTTATAGAAGTAGATTTTCTGATGAATGCCTATATTTTCTTTGACAAAAGTAACATTAATATTTCATTTTAAGGAAGAAACAAAAGGCCTGTGGTGGTTGTTGTTTTGTGCTAACATATTTTGGGTATATGAATAGCTAAGACTGGATAACTTTTCCTCAGAAAGAATGAAGACAGAACCTCTCCCAAACAAATGGGGTTATTTTAGTCTCTTATTTGTTATTGCCACTGCTTGTTTCCAGATATTCACAAACATAAGTACAAGGATCTGGATGCAGCAAATTGTGACTTATTCACAATGGCAAAATTGGCTCAAAAACAAAAACATGTAAAGTGCTCTCCCCCCCCCCCCCCCCGCTTGTCCTTTAAATTGGGCATGTACTTGTGAGTTCTTGGCCACACAAGGAATACATTTATTAACTAAAAAACAGGGAGGAATCTTGAAGTGGCAAGAGTCCATATCTCAGTTGTTTGAAATACATTTATATCTGAAAGTTCCTGGGTTTGGTCACCAACATCTCGGATAGCAGGTGTCACTGGCAGTACTGAATTAAATGAAGCTGTGGAGTTAGAAAGTCGCTTTCTATATGCAAATTAAAGCAAGAGCCCACTTTATTGTGCTTTTGCTGAAAGGCCCACACAACATTATTTGCCAGTGATTTTCCATGGATAAAACCATAATGTGTTATTTTGAGATTTAAGGCCTAAAAATTTGGGGGGGACTATCTGAGGAGCTGCTTGTCCCAATATGAACATGCCTGAGCATAAAATCCCCTAGAACAATGTTTTTCAACCTTGGTAATCGTAAGAGGCATGGATTTCAACTCACAGAATTCCCCAGACAGCACACATCTTAAATTTGCCAAGATTGAGAAACACTGCTCTAAAAACTGCTCCCATTTATTGGGAACCTGGGGTGGAGAGCTGCTTCCTTTGCTGCTCTGGAATGGTGAAACCTGCTTCCTCGCCTCAGGATATCTATTTAATCCTCAGTCTTTCTGCTTTTAGAAAGGGAGGCTAGGCATTCTTCCTATGACCACAGGTCTTTTCAGTTTCAACAGCTTAATGTGTGTTTAAGTATTTCTATGAGATTTTCCATGATTCTACTTTCTGTTTCTTGTTAGCTATCTTAGTGGAAAGGCTAGATACATCCTAAAAATAAATGAAAAAGGAATAAAATTGCTTGAAACTTAGGCTGCGACTGACTATCCATGCTTCACATCAGGAAGTTCAGGAAAGTAACAGTCCTCTTCTGCTGTTCTTGTTGGTGAGATTACTTGACCCTCGGCTGTTTTTGAGGTTTAGGGGAAAGACTGGATCCTGCTTGATATGAACATTTGAAAGAAGAGAAAGGGCAGGGTTCTGCTGTCACCCAGACAAAAATACCCAATACTCATTTGTGAGAACTCTAAAATGACATTTTAGCGGAAAAGTAATAGAAAGCAATAGAAAATTGGAAATAGACTTTCCTTTCTTTCTTCCATTTATTTGTTTGTTTGTTTGCTTGCTTGCTTGTTTGTTTATTAAATGTTTATGCCCTTCATCTCCCCTACAAGGTGAGTCTGGGTGGCTCTTCTCAGAGTTGTTCAATACCGCACTTGCTTGCAATTCTTGGAAGAATATTCTTTCTGGAAATCGGATGAAATATACCTTATGTATACCTCCTCAGTATAGCAATATGAATTTTGTGTAGATATGTTTGTTTAATGAACACATCAACTATGCCTTTTCTGCGATGCTTTCAGCTTCAGTCTCTGACCGGTAGTATGGAGCTAGTATTTCCTATCTATCTTCTGGGATTTTTACATTAGGCTTGCAACTAAATATAAATTGGAGAGCAACTAAACATTCAGACGCTCCAGTAGAGCGGCTTAACGTTTTCTTCTGTCTGCCCTGTTCTTCTCCATAAATAAGCCTAGATTTAGAGCTTGAAAGTAAGATTATAACGAATGAAAAAGGGCAGGAAGTCAGAGGCAGAACAGGCTTCCATCTCCCTCCATGCCTTTAATATATTTTGCAATCACACCATTATTTCTGTGCCCCAGTGTTTCATGTGTACTGTGTAATTTTTATGAATTAATTACAATTTCTTATGTATTTGCTGTTTTCATAATCACAAAAGAAAAGTTAGACATTTTAGAAACACATTTTAAACAAAATATGACTAGGGCTGTGTGGAATTTTTGCCATGTTTATATTTCAGTATAGGGTGTTAACACTTCTGAATAGTCTACTTCAATCAAATTCCTGGCCTCATGGCTGCTGAGTTATCATATTCCTTTGATTTCAATCTCTGTAAAAAAGAAAAAATTCTCCACAGGAACTGTAGCTCATTGTCTTGAAGCTGTGGCAGTTAGCTGCTTCTCTGCAATGTGTATGGTTGGCATTGATTTCCATAAATAACATTATCTGGCATTATGTAGGCCTTAAAGATTCACAATGAAATAGTAATACAGTGTGCTAAAATGTGGAGTAATAATGGCACATAAAATAACATATTCATGGCCATAGACATTGAACGTATTTGTTCAACTATAGTGAATTGGGAACACATGGGTGTGTATTTGCAATGTAGTAGCATGGCATCTCATCCCTGACTTGGATGCATTTCTTTCAAGTGAATATAGGCAAAAAGATAGAATATTATTTTTCTTTATTCCAATAAATAAGAGTGGGGTACAGGTTTGGTGAAAAGAATAGGAAAAAAGGTGTGTCATTTCAGCTCAGGCTAAAATAATTGGACACGTACCACATCTGCCTCCAGTTTTATTTAAAACACTGGATGTTGACACTCTTTGAGTTATAAATGGTAAAGTCTTGATTAAGAGAGGTTTCTTTGAGATTTTTTCCTACATAATTTGTTGCAGATTTCTGGAAGTGATTTTGCTTCCTTTTTTCCATCTCTACCATGAGTTGATACTGTCTGGCTTAACAGGAGTTACTGGGTTTGTTTAAAAATAGCAAGCACAACGAGTCTGTTCACTTGTAATTAATGTTTAATTTAAATCTTAGTTGCTTTAACATATATTTAGAAGCAAGTTCAAGTTCAACTGAAATTGAGATAGCTACAACATGAATATAATGCACTGCAGTTAACCTTGAATGTTTACAAGCATCCAGCAACTCTTTAGACAGTTTTGAGCGCTCTAGGCCACACATTACATTAAAGCATAAATGCCAACAGTTTTTGCTTAACATAATGTATATACCCTTTCCAAAACAGAGTGGGAAATTGGGCATATCATAATAAGCCACAAACAAACCACAATATGACTTTATGTGAAGACTAGTTTGATTCCTTACAAATACTTGGTAAAGAATTTCCATAGTTCCAAGCACATAGACAGATGTTGCATCCTAGGAACACTTGGATGGTCTCTTCATTTGTTGGGAAAATTATGTTTTGCAATTTTCATAAGAACATATAAATAATTGAGTTCAGTCCTGGATTTAGAAGGGGCTTCCCATGTCAAAAAAGTCTGTCAGCCTTTTGCAATCTTAGCTGGCAATG